AAGGAGGAGAGGATTCAACTTTGAGCAGATATATAACAAAAGATCTGTTCACAAACAATGCATGATTGTCACAGTAAGTGGCTGTCAACTACAATTAGATGGAACATCATACTGGCTTTCACCAACATGACGACAACATGACGCCCCTGAATGCAGAGTAACAGGAGTTAAACTTCTACACTGATGGTCAACCATTTGTAAGGCTGGAGAAAGAGAAAAATTGTGATCATATCTCTGATTTTCGTCAGTCATGGGCGGTCTAATTACAGTCTAGGCCTGGAGAGTGAGACAAAGGAACTGGCAGAGCACAGAAATGACAAGAGGTCAAATGATTAAAGAGATAAATACAGATGAACCCCGAGGATATATAATTTGACACTTGTTCAGACAATGAACAATCAAAAGCTTCAGCTCAAAAATAATTTGCATCTATTTAAACACTACACTAACATTCTTGTAACAGTGTCTGAGAAGTGAGCTGAGAGTGTTTATGAGCACAAAGCACATCATTATTTGTCAGACGACGTTAAAAAACAGAAATCACAAATAAAACTGTTTTAAATATTCATAATTAGTGACTTCAGCTATCACCAAACACATCCATCATTTGAGTTTTCAGGAGACAAAAACTCCAAATGTTGCCTGGTTGCTTGCTAAAAGCTACAGCCAAATATGACAGCAAAGGCAAAAAAAAACAAAACAAAACAATACCAGAATTCAACAAGTCTGGCGATATTTTTCTACAACAGCCATTAGTGTGAAGATTGAGCGATTAGATGGTGACAGCACTGAGAGAGGCTATGACAGCCTTAACATGATTATGATCATGATTCTTTTGTTGAATAAGTGACTAAAATGACAAAATTATTAGTTTTTTTTGCTCAACTATGTTGACTGAAATGTTCAATATAATCTGATGAATAACCGAAAATAAAACGTCACACTTTTGACTAAAACTGTACTTATTTAACTAGACTTAGTCATAAAATAAATTTGAGGAGTTGCAAGATAATGATCAGGAGAAAAAAGCAAGTAAAAAAATTGTGCTGTACAATTTTTTTTTAGAAATAATTTTTCTGATTTTCTCAAATGTTTGCTCTTTTCTTGTCGATTTATTGATCATTTCAATTTTCAGAGCATTCAACTATAGATGTAACAAGGAAAATCAGTCTTTGCGAGTTGCGAGCTGGTTACAAAATGCAACCACTGTCGATCATTGATGGGTCAAGAGCCATAAAATTGTGGAACTGGTGACAATTTCTATGAAAAATCACATATTTTTTCATAAAAGCTATGTTAGAATTATCAGAAAAGCATGGGCCAAAACATCTGCTTTGCAGTTATTCAGTACACCACACCTATAACACGCCTTTAAATCACACACACATTCATTTGTTTTATTTATTTTCATGTATTTTCAGTTACTGCAGAGATCCAGCACTAAAGAGCCTCAAGTCAGCTTTCATCGCACTTCCTCTTTAATCTTCTGAGTTTCTGCCAGCAGGTATAAAAAACCTATATTGATCCGTGTTGAGCTCAGCCATGCAGGAGAACAATCTGAAGACAGATGGGTGGTTAGGTGTGCCGAAAAATGACGTCACTGATGAGGTAACCCCTACCTGTGAGGAGCTGACGAATGATATGAGGAGTGAGGTAAGGTGGTGTGTGTGTGTGTGTGTGTGTGTGTGTGTGTGCACTGTATGATGTTCCTGACTGGAAACATTGTCAGAATTCAGGTGAGATGGTTTGAGGAAGGTTGTGTGCAGCTGTGTGTGTGTGCGCCTGTGTGTGTAAAGGGGTTAGAAGCAGGTGGCTCAGCCTGTCATTAAGGGCTGAGTCACTGTGTTAGCATCACTCACGGACACACACACACACACACACACACACACACACACACACACACACGTACGCAGGCACATACAAAGAGTCTAGACCAGACAAGGGGAGTGTTTTTGGAGGATGAGGGGGTTTCCAGACAGAGCAGGCAGAATATTGCCTGAGGTCACACTCCAATATCTAATCAGAGCCAAGAAAAGACTTTTGTTCAACTCAAGTTTTTTTTTCTTCTGTTGCTGTCAACCTCTTCCTCTCCTCCTGCTTCCTCACTTTCCTCTGAAAAAAGGTTCTCGCTTTTGCCGTCATCATCACTGTCAAAATCCTTCAATGACTGTTCAGACTCAAGAACTGCCGCGGCATAAACTCTCTGAAGTTTCTGAGGGAAAACCTGAGCAGTGTTAGACGACCAATGAATTCACCTCACCATATCAGGGAGTGATTTCATGGTTATCAGCTGTGTTAAATTGTGAGTTATATGCTGCCGACCTCTGCCCACACTCCAACTTATCTTGTCTTTTTACTATTTGCTGTTGTATTCTGCATCTTGTGTTTAATTATTTGTACAAATAAAGTTGTAATAACTAACTTGTGACTGCACAGTGAAGAATAGTTTTGTCTAATAAGCTTCTGACTGATAAAAATGTGTGTGTTGCTAAAATTGTTGGAATATTCATTAGACACAATAGCATTTAAATGTTGGGCAGAACAAAAGGCACCCAAAAGATTTGCCTCTTTCATACAGGAGATATGCGTGTGATATTATGACACGCTTTTGGACAGTTGTCACTCTTGTTGTCACTGCTAATGAAAAACTCCAACTTGTATCTGAAGTTTATAATCTGCACTTATAAACCTGAGAATTACACTGAATAATGTCCAATAATTACAAGTAAATGTGCTCATGGAAAAGCTCTGGTCCAAAATAAAAATGTTTAGTGTCGCAGATGCAAAAGAACCAGATGGAAAAGATAAAGAGAGCTGGATGGAGTGTGCCAGGACGGTGCCCGTTCATTCCAATAAAGGTTGCTTAACCAGAACATATGCCAAAAAACTTTTTTCTCTTCCTGGTTTACCTCCTTGTCATGTGGCCCTCAGCATATGTGCATCATTGTCTCTTTCCCTTGTACCATAGACTGTACATTGAGATGACTATGTTTTAAGAAAGTTTTGCAGTTGTGAAATCTTCATGGTGTAAAAATTCAACTCAAACTAGAAGAACAGCAACTGAAAATGTCTGCAAAAAAAGCCGCCATAAAACAGGGATGATAAGTGATTGTTACTGCCATGTTGTGCCACTGTTAGTGTTTAGAAAGTGCTGCCTTACACGTGTTACATGTCAAACTAGAGGCCAATTTTGTTGTGTTACATGTCATGCCTCTTTTGCTTCAAGGACACTGGCATCAAAAATCACACCCTGGGACAGAATGATGCCACCGTTGTTTGATTCTGTATAAAAAAGCAACGGCAGCGAAATGAAGGGACTTCGTAACATCCCCACTGCATGATCTCTGTGTAAAAAGGGCTGCTCATACACACGAACACAAGGCTCTGGGGGCAATTTGTCATTCAGCATCTTGCTCAAGGAAGCTTCAACACGTGGACAGGAGAAGCTGGGGATTGGACCAACAGCCTTGACATTAGCAGACACCTGAATCTGCCACTGTGTATCCAGCTCTCTCAAAAGAGAATTCGACTGATACAGACGAACCAGAGATATCATCTTTCTCATTTCAGATATTCTAAATTCAGGTCAAAACCTGGCACCTACATTACCCACAATGCAACTTGAATACAAACAGTTTGACCTGGGATTTTAGTGTGTACTGCTAGTGGTGGCTAAGCCTCATGCCGTTAGCCTCGAGCAGAGAGGAGGAACAAGCTGCAGAGTTGTGGTAGACGACTTTATAACTCCACAAATTTGTTTCATTTTTATTTTTGTAGTCTTCAACCCCAACCAGTTTATCAGATTTTGTGCAGCTCCCTCTGGAGCCTCTAAAGACTTTTTTTCCCCCCACACATGCAGCAGTACTCCCAAAGACCTAGGACCACACTTTGATGTGTAAAATCAGTTGAGCTCCCCTTTAAAACATGTATGGCTGGTCCTCTGGGGACGATGAATGTGCTCAGCAGATTCAATGGCAATCTGCCTCTTAGATTTTTCAAGTTTGACCCTGACAGTGAGAAAGATTTTTGGCTGGTGATGCCAGGGGAAAGATTATTGGGATGCCGAAATCCTCTTGGGATCATGAATACATTCAGCACATTCGACAGCAATGTGGTCAGTAGTTTAGATATCTTGCACTGGAGCAAAGTGTGAGACATACAGCACAGGGAGACAGATGGACCAACCAACTCTGCCACCCATTCAGCTCCGCCTTCTGAAAGGCAAAAATCCTACAGTGTTTAAATGTCAGGGTGTGTTTGTTTGTGACTTTCAAACAGAGCACAGTGTGTGTTTGTATGTACAGCGCTTGCTAAGGAGAACCTTGTGTGTGCTGCAGCGATGGCTTGTGCGATTGTCACTCTAATTGTTTCCATCTTTGTGTGTGTGTGAGTGTGTGTGTGTGTGTGTGTGTGGCTGGCGGTCCCTTCAGAGGAGCAGGCCACTTCAGAGCAGCCATGGAACCGCCACAGGCTGACGGAGCCGGTGCTGCCACTTCACACACTGTGTGCGTGCCTGAATACATGTGTGTGTGTCCATGTGTAAGGAGAAGAGGGGGGGGGTGGAGCTGACGAGCATGAATGTGTATATGTGTGTGTGTGTGTGTGTGTGTGTGTGTGTGTGTGTGTATGTGTGTGTGTGTGTGCGTAAGAGACAGAAAGACAGGGAAAACGAGAATATGTATTACATTTGTTATATCATAGTTTGTGTGTTTCTAATAAAATACAACGCTTGTGTGTGTGTGTGTGTGTTGTGTGTCTATGTGATGAATGACGTGTCGTCAGTACAAACAGATCGCAGTGTGTATGTGGACGAGGATTTCAGCATCAATTCAGCAGCTGTCTGGGGTATGTCTGTGTTTACTTGTGTGTGTGTCCTCTTAAATGTATGTACTTCTGTATTTTAACAAGAATCCAGCCGACAGTACGTGTGTGTACACAAACTTCTGTCTTTTGAGTGTGAATGCAGGTATATGTGTAAACGTATGCGTGTGTGTGCTCACCTGTCTTCTGGCTCATGTCTGTGGGCAGGTGTGGAGGACTCGGGCTGAAGTGCTCGTTGCTGTAGGGCAGGAGGGACGTCAGCGGGTGCATCCCGTGAGACTGCTGCACCACCGACACTTTGTTGGACTGTTCACGAGACACAAAGATACAAAATCAACTTAGATAGCACGACTTCACGACTTCCGACTTTTTTCATGCTGACTGATATACTGACAAACAGGGTTGCAGGTGCTCTGCTTGAGGTGAGTCACAAACACAAACAATCAGTCTTTTAGTTCATTTTACAGTCATTGCACTCATTATAAACATGCACTGTTGTGTGAACCTGCTACGGGACTTTCTCACAGTCAAGAAGAAAGCCATCTTATGTTAAATAAAGCTCTACTACAGAAGCTTCTACACTACCTCACATCTATTTGAATCTAGTAACTTCAGTACAAGATTCAGTAACCACTAACCTGAGTGCGTTTTGGCATTATGCACCAGAGGTGTGGACTTCAGTCACATGACTTGCAGTTGAGTCAGACTCAAGTCACAAATTTGACGACTTCAAACTCGACATGACAAAACTGAAAGACTTGCAACTGGACACTTGACTTGGACTTTAACACCAGTGACCCCTGACTTCACTTGGACTTGAACCTTTTGACTTCAGAATACTTCACATCTTCCCACAAACCCAAATATTAAAAAGTATGTTATTTAAAAAGTGTGCCACAAATCAATTAATTTCCTTTTTTACTTGAATCATCTATTAACACTATTTATTCCCACTTAATTCACAATACACTTAATTCTCCAGATCAACTTTGTTTAGACTAGTCTGACAGCATCCAATCAAGTTGCAGGAGAGAACCATGAAGAACTAACATTTCGTGAAGAGTGTATTTTGACTCGTTTAAGACTCGTACCTCAAAGTTGTCAGTCTTGACTTAAGACTTGTGCAAAGATTTAAGACTTAATTGTGACTTGCAAAAAAGTGACTTGGTCCCACCTCTGCTCAGCACCTTTTAATAAAATGAACTGTCTTTCGTTTCCGTTTAACGACTTTTTTTGTCAATGATTCCTGTTACTGTCTCTTTTAATTCCTTGTTCAATGCGGAGTTGTGTTGCTTCTGTTTTGCTGATTGTGTTCTTGTGAATATTTCTTATTAGCGGGCCTCTCTTGGAAAAGAGATTTTAATCTCAAGAGACTGCTCGATTAAAAGAAGATCAAAGATGAACAAATAAATGTATTTTAAAAAGTGCAGCAACTTTGATAAAAAAGGTGGGTCAAAGTTAAACCAGGAAGCAACTTTTCATGATTTAAACTGTCAGCTTGGGCAATAATTTCACCATCAGAGAGACTCATTTCCCATATCTTTGCAATTAAATATCTTAGTAATTAAAATGCTGAGTGAATGTTATGAGGGATGAAAATAAAGTGTAAAAGACAGAAAATAAGACCCAGATGCAGGACTGATTACTTAAATTAAACAGGACTCAATATGTTTTAGAATTTGGTTTATAAGGTTGGTTGATTATTTTTTGTCAGACACATGAAGGATTACAAGTTCAGCAAATGAAAACTAAGAATTTATTCATTTTAGTGATAATAATAATTTGAAAAAAAAAAATTAATTGCTGATGATGTTGGGAAACGTATTTCAGAATTTCAAGATTTAAAATAAAGTCATTTATTTAGTCAAAGATTGATAAACATGATCAAACACAGTGGTGCATATTTTGCTTTCTTTCATATGCTAAAATAAGATATTACATTCAACCAGAAACCAACATGAAATGATTTATTCTATCTCTTTTCTTCTCTTAATTAAATCGATATTTAAAGATGCGAGATGAACACAAAGATGCCAGTGTCATTCGCTTACAATATTTCTGCTTCTATCCACTTGCAGGGACGTTTGCATTTGCTTGCAGACACAAAAATCCAGCTGAACACACACACACACACACACACACACACACACACACACACGTACAAGAAGGAAAGATGCAAGAGAAGAAAGCTGGACATCTTAAACCTGGTTTGGAACAAACATATGGGCAGTGCTTTGCTACCATTGGTTTTCAGTGGAGCAGGGAGGAGGAGGAGGAGGAGGCCCATTTGATCGATAAGTCTTTGATGATCAAGTGAGGCTGCGTGCGAGCTTGTTTGCTTTCATGTTTCTGTTTACAAATGGCTTTCAATAAGTTACGTGAAATCTAGTTATTGCTAATGCTCACAGCATGCTGGCTGACATATGATACGTCACGGCGGTTTGCAATGTTGAAGGCAGCTAACCAGGCAGCCTTGGACAGAGTTACACTGCGTATGTTTGAACCATGCCGTGTGTGTGTGTGTATGTGTGCGTGCGTGTGTGCGGACTGGGCAGTGTAACAGATTCTGTGGGAGGAGAGTATAAATATGCGTCTTTCTGTGCGAGTGCAAATGTGTGTTTGTGAGTGGGTGGATGTGTATGGCTGGGTATATTTGTGTGTGTGTGTGTGTGTGTGTGTGTGTGTCTCCAAGCCGTATTAAGGCTTTGAAAGCTTGGCAGTGCTGCCGATTTTCATGTATACGAATATATCTGAGAAAAGTTTTTTAAGTTTTGTATTTTGTACACTGAGATGGACAAGCCTGTGTGTAATTGTGAGTGTGTGTGTGTGTGCGTGTGTGTGTGTGGAGTGTGTAACATCAGCACTACAGAGGGGCAGATCTGGTGCTACTTGCTGGGCCTCCTGCTGAGTTACAAAGTGAATACCTTATCACTTAAAGGCAGAGCTTCCACACGCTACACTCCACATTAACACACGCACGCGTGCACACACACACACACACTTTCAACAGCTCCTTTCCTATCCGTCAACATCTTAAACTCCCTTTCACTGGCCAAACACACACGCACACACACATACACAAACGGACCCTCATGTGTATGCTACACGGCTAGCTGTGGAGCTAAGATCAAACTGCTAAACCGCTTTTAATGTCCAGACACATGAAAACAAAACGCACTGCCTCTGTACCGGAGAGCTGAAGGGTGGGAGGTTTGAGGGTTGTGGGAGGAGATGCAGGGGAGATGGTGGTGTGGGAGCAGGGTGGAGGTGGTGGTGAGGTTTTTAGATAAGGTGGTCTGCATTCATTACAACCTGAAGTAGCCTTCAGAGATGGAGAAGGGGCGTTGGAGGGTAGGGAATATGCAACGATTTTGACAGAATGGTCACCTCATGGGATGAGAACACCCAGATGAAACACCTGTTGTCATGGTAACACATTATGAAACAATTTGCTAAGTGGGGTTCAGGATGATGTGCTGTTCGACACGCTGGGCGGAGTCACATCTGGTGCTGTGTTCGAGTCATGTGAGATGGAGGCTGGCAACGGGAAAGATCCCCTTCTTTACTTTTTGGGAGTGTTCACTTCAGAAAACTCGAGGTGGCTGTATGAAAAAGTTAAAAATGCAGAATTGGTCTGACGAGGACTAAAAATACTGAGCATGGTGCGAACAGAAACACTATTAGAACCTGCGTTTCATTATCTTTAACACTGGACTTCTCAAAAACCCCAATAATTTTTAATTAATAACTTCCATACAAAGAGTCGTGGCAGTGGTTCATGTTGTGTTGTGTTTAAGCCCCCAGCTGTTAGATAGCAGTGTTGTAATCTATCTTCCACCATTTGTCTCTTGGGGCCATCGCACACCAAGTCTGTACTTTTTGTCCAATTTTGTTGAACACATAATAAACACAACCTCATGCTGGGTCAATCATGTTCACTCATCGACTCTGAAACTTCCGTCCGTCATTAAAGTTTATGAAAATAGGGCTTAATATTCTGCTTTCTTTTTAACATCTGTCCAAAGCTTTTACAGTTGTTTAGGACCAAGAGGCAGTGAAGACCGTATGGCAATGATGATGATGAGGAGGAGGATGTTAATAGACGATGAGGACCGCACACACACAGACAGACAATATGAGGACAGAGAAAGACGACGGCTCAACCCCCTTCAGGTGACCATGGTGCTGAACGCCAGATGCAGGCAGAGAGTAGCGACAGTCTTGCTTCTCTCCACTGGAGATGGAGAGAAGCTGGGGAACTGCTGTGTCTTTTCATTTTGTCCTGTATTGCAAATTTTCACACAGCAGAGACAATAAAATGCATTAGATTTAGTGTGCAAGGTCTCTGTGCGTGACTATTTTTATCAGTTGACAGATGAAAAAAACGCCTAAGAAAAATATGGACTGCAACGTAACAACATATCGCTAGCATACATGCAAAGAACACGGGCCTCTAACATAAGCAGAGTCATATAGGGTGTACCAATAGCTCCTAAAATAGATTTTAAAAAACACAATATATGGCTTTGCTTACAGTATGAATCGAAACCCCTGCATCATGATAATATACAGCCTCTATTTCTGTCATTCAGCAGTAACTTTGACGTATTGGAACTTTTACAAAAATTGGAATCTGGATGTCGACACTGACGGGTATGTAGAAGCCAGAAACTGGCAATTAGGCAACTCCGACCTGACACCAATGCAGTGTAACCATTGTTTAATTTGTGCAATGTGCAACTTTTCATTTTCAGCAGAAGCAATGACATTTTGCAGGGAAAATCCCAAAACTGGGTAGTTAGCATCAGCAGTGAGCGGCAACAGAATGCGTGAGCTTACATGTCATAAAAATCTGACTGAACCTTGAATGTCAAGAGTCAGAGTTCATGACTGCAACAAAAAAAATTTAAAATAGTTATTGCATGTTGAGTAAGAAGACAAATTGCAAACTGAAAACCACTGCGTACACCACTGGAAACCAGTATACATGCAGAAACATCAGCATTCACACACCATCCAGCAGATGTGAATAGTACACATATACAGAATGTAAGTGTGAATTACTGCACACAAATCACACCTCACCTGCAGCGCATGTACACATGCACACACACATATTCTGCTTCTCGACAGATTTTGCACATATGGATGCAAACACACACACACATACAGAGACACACACACATCTGTGCAGGGCTGCTAGGAGCCTTCAAAAGTAGCTGTGGCTCCGTTTCACGTGCTGAGGTCGATGAAGCCGTTTTGCTGTAACATTATAGCCGCAAAATCGTCCATTTATGTTTCCTCTC